CCCTCCCCACACCCCCAACTCCCCACACACAGCATAATACATGTATCACTGGAGGGGAAGAATGTGTCTCAAGTGTCTCCTTGACACCACTGTGTGGGGGAGTGGGGGAGGGGGGGAATGGAGGGGGGAGGGGTGGGGGAAATGGAGGGGGAGGGGGGAGTTGTGGGAGTAACTACAATCGCGAGGTGATTCATGGCTTATCCTCTGTATTCCAATCTATTCCTTACATCATCTCCTCCCCCCTATTCCGTGTTACCCCCCTCTTCCGTTAACACCCTTCCACCATCTTCTTGCTGTCCACACACACACACACACACAAACAACACCACACACACACACACACACACACACACACACACACACACACACACACACACACACACACACACACACTGATCCGGCTCCGGAACCTGTACACCAGTTGATTGAGAGGCGGGACCAAAGAGCCAGAGCTCAACCCCCGCAAGCACAAATAGGTGACTACAAATAGGTGAATACACACATACACACACACACACACACACACACACACACACACACACACTGTTGTGTGTGTGTGGATTGGATTGTAGTTAATCCAATCCATCTGGACCAAGGCTGTTGGTCCAGATGGGATCTCACCATGGATACTGAAAGAGTGTGCAGAGGCACTTTGCTTGCCACTCTCCATAGTGTATAGTAAGTCACTGGAGACGGGAGACCTACCAGAAATATGGAAGACGGCGAATGTGGTCCCAATATACAAAAGGGCGACAGGCAAGAGGCACTGAACTACAGGCCAGTGTCCTTGACTTGTATACCATGCAAGGTGATGGAGAAGATCGTGAGAAAAAACCTAGTAACACATCTGGAGAGAAGGGACTTCGTGACAAATCGCCAACATGGGTTCAGGGAAGGTAAATCTTGCCTTACAGGCTTGATAGAATTCTACGATCAGGTGACAAAGATTAAGCAAGAAAGAGAGGGCTGGGCGGACTGCATTTTCTTGGATTGTCGGAAAGCCTTTGACACAGTACCGCATAAGAGGCTGGTACATAAGCTGGAGAAACAGGCAGGTGTAGCTGGTAAGGTGCTCCAGTGGATAAGGGAGTACCTAAACAATAGGAAGCAGAGAGTTACGGTGAGGGGTGAGACCTCCGATTGGCGTGAAGTCACCAGTGGAGTCCCACAGGGCTCTGTACTCGGTCCTATCTTGTTTCTGATATATGTAAATGATCTCCCAGAGGGTATCGATTCATTTCTCTCAATGTTTGCAGACGATGCTAAAATTATGAGAAGGATTAAAACAGAAGAGGACTGTTTGAGGCTTCAAGAAGACCTAGACAAGCTGAAGGAATGGTCGAACAAATGGTTGTTAGAGTTTAACCCAACCAAATGTAATGTAATGAAGATAGGTGTAGGGAGCAGGAGGCCCGATACAAGGTATCATCTGGGAGAGGAAATTCTTCAGGAGTCAGAGAAGGAAAAAGACTTGGGGGTTGATATCACGCCAGACCTGTCTCCTGCATCACATATCAAGCGGATAACATCAGCCGCATATGCCAAGCTGGCCAACATACGAACGGCATTCAGAAACTTGTGTAAAGAATCATTCAGAACTTTGTATACCACATATGTCAGGCCAATCCTGGAGTATGCAGCCCCAGCATGGAGTCCATATCTAGTCAAGGATAAGACTAAACTGGAAAAGGTTCAAAGGTTTGCCACCAGACTAGTACCCGAGCTGAGAGGTATGAGCTACGAGGAGAGACTACGGGAATTAAACCTCACTTCGCTGGAAGACAGAAGAGTTAGGGGGGACATGACCACCACATTCAAGATTCTGAAGGGAATTGATAGGGTAGATAAAGACAGTCTATTTAACACAAGGGGAACACGCACAAGGGGACACAGGTGGAAACTGAGTGCCCAAATGAGCCACAGAGATATTAGAAAGAACTTTTTTAGTGTCAGAGTGGTTGACAAATGGAATGCATTAGGAAGAGATGTGAATCTCAGGAATCTGTACACCTGTTGATTGACGGTTGAGAGGCGGGACCAAAGAGCCAGAGCTCAACCCCCGCAAACACAACTAGGTGAGTACAACTAGGTGAGTACACACACACATAGGGGCCTCGTAGCCTGGTGAATAGCGCGCAGGACTCGTAATTCTGTGGCGCGGGTTCGATTCCCGCACGAGGCAGAAACAAATGGGCAAAGTTTCTTTCACCCTGAATGCCCCTGTTACCTAGCAGTAAATAGGTACCTGGGAGTTAGTCAGCTGTCACGGGCTGCTTCCTGGGGGTGGAGGCCTGGTCGAGGACCGGGCCGCGGGGACACTAAAAGCCCCGAAATCATCTCAAGATAACCTCAAGATAGCACCACAGCCCACAGGATGTGCTGGTCCGACTGAACCCAAAGACACATTCAGACAACTTTAACGCACTGTGTAACTAAAAACTACACAGTTTCTCAAATATCATTTTAATGTATATTAGATTTTTGAGTGTAGCTAGGCCTAAGAAAGATTAGGTTTCATGTTTGGTCTGGACAATTATTTGAATTTGCAATACGTGGGCGAAGCATTTATAAAGGCGAGATTCGAACTCCGGCAGAGCGTAGCACTGTACAACAAAAGTTTAGCCATCAACAAAGGCCAAGTGATTGTTAACCCAGCCTCCAAATGACCTGTTTATGAATGAAGAGCGATTTACGCACCACTCACAACTGATGAGGTTCGAACAGTGCTTTGCTGACGAGCTCTGTTCGAATCGGAACACCGTAAATGCCTCACTCACGTACTACAAATACAAATAATCGCCAACAGAACCTAAACACCTAACCTGCACCTATCGCAACCCGCTCTCGCACAAGACAGTACATATATGACTTATTGCTTGTAGTCACTATTTAGCTGATTAATAAGTACATATGTGGTACATGCCAAGTTATATTTTGTTTATAAGATACAAACTCTTTTTATAGATTTGCTAAACACCAGTTTTCATATTAGGAATTTCTATTTCAGTTTTTTAAACAATAGAGATTTTATACAATATCCTGAGTTACTTTACAATTTATTTGAATATTTTGGTTTTGTTTTATAAGTTTTATAAAACTGTAATATCAATATAGGTATAGGTTAAGTAATAATTGTAATTAAGAAGCAATAAGATGCTTATCTTAACATACTAAGAAGGTTAGGTTAGGTCGGTGTTTTCTATTAAGCTTTTCAAGGTAAACTAAAATATTCAAAATTAGTATGTCACATATGCACTTATTAATAAGCCAATATTGACTATAAGCAAGTGCGAGAATGGGTTGCCTATCTACACACAGAGCTTTGATATATAATAATATTGATTTATATACCAGAACAAACATTTTGAATTCACGGTACGTAGATATTGATGCATACGTGTTGAAGGGAAGACAGCTGCTGTAACGAGTCTAGCCTGAGGACAGGTTTTAGTGTTGTCCTGGCGGCTGAATTAACGAACCTATGACTACCATTTATGAGAACGGGCTGCTTGACCTAGGACAGTAACACCAGCCATGACACCTGTAAGTTTAGTCACCCTTGCAGGTGTTTCCCCCCGCCCCCCCTCTTTATCGACCTCTGAATTCAATATATGCTTCCCCCTCCCTCTCCCCCTCCCACCTTGCTATTCAATGTCCCCCCCCCACAACCTTCGTTCTCAGTGCCCCCCCTTCCCCCCCCCCCCCCCCCGCTCATCGGTCGACGACCACCTGTTCAAGGTCCTCTACAAAATTACAAAACACAACAGCTGACGCTGATTCGAACGTTTTACCTCAGCGTTCGAACGCGTTACCTCAGCGTTCGAACGCGTTACCTCAGCGTTCGAACGCGTTACCTCAGCGTTCGAACGCGTTACCTCAGCGTTCGAACGCGTTACCTCAGCGTTCGAACGCGTTACCTCAGCGTTCGAACGCGTTACCTCAGCGTTCGAACGCGTTACCTCAGCGTTCGAACGCGTTACCTCAGCGTTCGAACGCGTTACCTCAGCGTTCGAACGCGTTACCTCAGCGTTCGAACGTGTTACCTCAGCGTTCGAACGCGTTACCTCAGCGTTCGAACGCGTTACCTCAGCGTTCGAACGCGTTACCTCAGCGTTCGAACGCGTTACCTCAGCGTTCGAACGCGTTACCTCAGCGTTCGAACGTGTTACCTCAGCGTTCGAACGTTTTACCTCAGCGTTCGAACGTTTTACCTCAGCGTTCGAACGTTTTACCTCAGCGTTCGAACGTTTTACCTCAGCGTTCGAAAGATTTTACCTCAGCGTTCGAACGTTTTACCTCAGCGTTCGAACGTGTTATTCCGAGAGAGTTCTAGTTGTACGTCAAACGCACGCAAGCCAAACACTCTACAGTTGGATCTACCCAAGTTGAACTTGATCTTCTTCCCGAATACCACAACTTATATGTATAATCCACAGGTTACTTTAAGGTTCCCAAGGCCAGCGTGTAGTTTGAAAGTTACATAAAGACATATATATATATATATCTATATATATATAGATATTATATCTATATATATATTTATATAATATATATATATATATATATATATATATATATATATATATACTCGTGCTGTAGATAGAACCCAATAGAGGGCCACCCTTGCCTTAAGTGCCTCACGGTAGGGGCTGAAAAAGATGCCCAAACAGTTTGGGCACCAAGCTGTTGACCTCAAGCTTGGGACGGCGGCACCAGGCTCAGCCTCGATGGTCTGACACCATGTTCTCTCCCTTCAATGTTCTGTGTCAACTCTCGGTGTGTCTCTCCAGTCATCTGACTGTTCCCAGGTGAGTGGCCCTCTCTATGGGACCTGTAGCCTCAACGCTTCCTCCTAGTTCAGTAACTGAACAGTCACATCCGGACTGTGTGTGTGTGTGTGTGTGCTCTTTCCTGTCTCTCTCATCTCCCACAGTCAAACATACGCTCGGAGAAAGTTTTTGAGGCGTACAAAGCCAGTCTTTCAATCATGTATCCTACAGCGCTGCCGCCACGGCCGGCTAGATAACAGACCCAACCAGTCGGGCCGCCGACCCAAGCTGGCCAGAAAGACGATCCAGCCGGCCAAGCCGGCGACACAGTCGGCCAAGCCGGCGACACAGTCGGCCAAGCCGGCGACACAGTCGGCCAAGCCGGCGACACAGTCGGCCAAGCCGGCGACACAGCCGGCCCAGGCCGGCGACACAGCCGGCCAGGCGGCGACACAGCCGTCAAGCCGCGATTACAGTCGGCTAGCGGAGACAACGCCAAATTTTACCTCCCCGCCTTAATCACACTAGAAACGAAGCCGGAGTAGTCGATGAGATGGGTGAGGAAGTCGAGCCCAGCCCATCAGTGGTGTGGTTCTCAACCGGTCCAAGCCGGCGACACCTCGGCCAACGGTTGGTTCATTTGGCCCCCCCCCCTCGCTCGTGGCTAGCCGGCGACACAGTGCTAGCCGGCGACACAGTGGCCCGGGTCACTGTGGCCGGTTCACTGTGGCCCGGTTACACTGTCGGCCCGGCTCTGTGGCCCGGTTCACTGTGCCCCCGCGTTCAAGTCACCCTGTTATCCTAGACTAGCGAGACCAACGCCACAATTACGCCCCTTCTTAATCACACTACGAAGCCACTGTGGCCCGGCTGACTGTGAGCCCGGGTACTGTGGCTCCGGCTCACTGGGGTCCGGTTCCTGTGGCCGGTTCACTGCTGGGCCCCGGTTTCCTGTGCCCGGTTCACTGTGGCCCGGTCACTGTGGCCCGGTTCACTGTGGCCCGGGTCACTGTGGCCCGGTTCACTGTGGCCCGGTTCACTGTGGCCCGGCTCACTGTGGCCCGGTTCACTGTGGCCCGGCTCACTGTGGCCCGGTTCACTGTGGCCCGGTTCACTGTGGCCCGGTTCACTGTGCCCCGGCTCACTGTGGCCCGGTTCACTGTGGCCCGGTTCACTGTGGCCCGGCTCACTGTGGCCCGGCTCACTGTGCCCCGGCCCACTGTGGCCCGGCTCACTGTGGCCCGGGTCACTGTGGTCCAATCCACCAACTAGTAACTCAGCCCTCTCTGTGGGAGTAGTTTTGCGACAAAAGAATAAAGGACTCTACAACCACCGTTGTAAGGGGTCTGCCACCTCTGGTGCCAATCTGGGTTGTCTGCCATCAATGCTCTGGAGAAGAAAATAAAAAGTTGTCTCCATCAATGACCTTATGGTTTTCAGTTGTCTGAACACTATCATTATCTTCTCCTACCAATGGTAAATTGTAACCTAATTATCCCATCATCTCGGTCTACAAAACTTAAAAGTAATTATGAACATTTATAAACTGATTCACAAAATGTTTTAACATCGTGAAGCATATCAATGCTCATGTTGTCTGCCATCAATGCTCATGTTGTCTGCCATCAATGCTCATGTTGCCTGCCATCAATGCTCATGTTGTCTGCCATCAATGCCCATGTTGTCTGCCATCAATGCCCATGTTGTCTGCCATCAATGCTCACGTTGTCTGCCATCAATGCCCATGTTGTCTGCCATCAATGCTCATGTTGTCTGCCATCAATGCCCATGTTGTCTGCCATCAATGTTGTTGTCTGCCATCAATGCTCATGTTGTCTGCCATCAATTCTCATGTTGTCTGCCATCAATTCTTATGTTGTCTGCCATCAATGCTCATGTTGTCTGCCATCAATGCTCATGTTGTCTGCCATCAATGCTCATGTTCTCTGCCATCAATGCTCATGTTGTCTGCCATCAATGCTCATGTTGTCTGCCATCAATGCCCATGTTGTCTGCCATCAATGCTCATGTTGTCTGCCATCAATGCCCATGTTGTCTGCCATCAATGCTCATGTTGTCTGCCATCAATGCGCATGTTGTCTGCCATCAATGCTCACGTTGTCTGCCATCAATGCTCACGAGATCTGGGAGTCGACAGCCTCGCCCATCTCGAAGCAGTTAATACCTGTCCAATTCAAGAGCAAAAAGACACATAATCTGCGTATATTTTCTGCGTACATATCCAACAGGATCCCAAAGACAGGATCTCCTAGAGCAGGTGCTGACACCTGGCCCCGAGGGACGCTCGTCAGCCTTGGTGGATGGTGGATGGCCAGGGGGGAGTGGCCACTGGTGGATGGCCCGGGGGGGAGTGGCCACTAGTGGATGGCCAGGGGGGGAGTGGCCACTGGTGGATGGCCAGGGGGGGAGTGGCCACTGGTGGATGGCCAGGGGGGGAGTGGCCACTGATGGATGGCCCAGGGGGGAGTGGCCACTGGTGGATGGCCAGGGAGGAGTGGCCACTGGTGGATGGCCAGGGGGGAGTGGCCACTGGTGGATGGCCAGGGGGGGAGTGGCCACTAGTGGATGGCCAAGGGAAGGGAAGACTTCGACAAGGAGAGAACTGAAAGTCATGGCACCTCGGGGTTCTCTCTCTCAAGACTAAGCTCTCGTCAGGTCGCAGGTCACAACAGCCTGGTTGCCCAAGGGGCGCCAGACGGCTCATACTTGTAATTGTGTAGCGGAGGTAAGTACCTGACGTTACAACCGCTGACAGGGATCCCACAACTAAAAATACAGCTCCTGTGCCACGCCAGAAACCAGCAAACGCAGGCAACCCACCAAACGTCAGTATTATGGTTATCTTGAGGTTATCTTGAGATGATTTCGGGGCTTTAGTGTTCCCGCGGCTCGGTCCTCGACCAGGCCTCCACCCCCAGGAAGCAGCCCGTGACAGCTGACTAACACCCAGGTACCTATTTTACTGCTAGGTAACAGGGACATAGGGTGAAAGAAACTCTGCCCATTGTTTCTCTATGCTATACGGTGCTCTATGTTTTACTAAAACGTCGCATTTTCAATGGATTGATCGATTCCATAAATAATGTGAAGCCGGATAACGAACGTTTTTGAATGTTCAAAACATTCAAAATCAAATTTTTTTTTTATTTTGTTCAAAATCAAAACATATGTAGAAAGCATTTCAGCCTGAGCGTCCAGAACACGTTATGTACAGGAGCCGTGAACAGTCACAGTCTAAAATACCTGACGAGCTTGTTGACAGTCTAATGACTGGTTAAGCACAGCTTGGAGACGCTGGGGACAGTCACAGATGCATCATCAAAACTCTTGATACAGTTGAATGATAACTTCTTAAGATAATAACAGTCCTCCCGAGTACACTCCCAAGATGCTGGTGGTCAGGAAACACAGTGACTGCCATGGTTCTCATAACATACTTAGGGGACCAGGGACCAGATTCACGAAAGCACTTACGCAAGCACTTACGAACGTGTACATTTTTCCTCAATCTTTGACGGCTTTGGTTACATTTATTAAACAGTTTACAAGCATGAAAACTTCCCATTCAACTGTTGTTATTGTTATAAACAGCCTCCTGGTACTTCGGAGCTCATTAACTGTTTAACAATTGGAAACAAAGCTGCCAAAGATTGAGAAAAGATGTACACGTTCGTAAGTGCTTGCGTAAGTGCTTTCGTGAATCTGGCCCCAGGGCCTAACGAGGCAGCTCCCCTTAGACCATATGAAGGATGTCATTGTCTCAAGAACAAACTATGTGACATCAGGCGACCCTAGACTATATTGAGAACTACATAGTTTGCTTCAAGAGCTAGAGAAACACGAACCCAGAAACGACTGTCAGAAAATTCACGTACAAATCTAACGAAGCCCGTCACTATGCAGGCGATGAGTCACAATAACGTGGCTGAAGTAGTTTGACCAGACCACACACTTGAAGGTGAAGGGACGACGACGTTTCGGTCCGTCCTGGACCATTCTCAAGTCGATTGTGAATGGTCGACTTGAGAAGGTTCCAGGACGGACCGAAACGTCGTCGTCCCTTCACCTTCTAGTGTGTGGTCTGGTCAAACCAGTCACTATACTACGGGCATCTCCCGGGATTCCTCCCCCACACGACGTCATCTACAAAGTCAACACAAACATATGACACAACAGTACCGTAAAGAAGTAAGTTGAATGTCAGGGACAACCAGGAGGCCCGCGGCGACGCCCCCACCTCTCACACCCCCTCCGTCAACATCCTCCCTAATTACCAGCGAAAGGTAACTCTTTACGACTTGTCAAGACACTTAACGACCCCCAAACCTGTGTTTAGTATCTCAGGTACAGCCCCTCCTGGCCCTTGGCACACTTATAGTGTAAAATTAAACTCCAATAGAAGCAAGAATGAAGTGATTACATCATTTATGTATGTACTTAATGAAGGTAAGTGCCAGCTCTTGCGCTACGGAAAAAAATGAAATATAAAAACAGAAACCACGTACAAAACGCAGTCAAATCATAACATAGAACGAAAAGGCAATGTAAAGGATCTGGGTGTACTCGTATCGGAAGACCTTACCTTTAAAGATCACAATAAAGTAGCCGTCACAACTGCAAGAAAAATGACAGGTTGGATAACAAGAACTTTTCACGCTAAAGATGCTATACCAAAGATGATACTCTTCAAGACGCTAGTGCTCTCTAGAGTGGAATACTGTTGTACAATGACAGGATCTTTTAAAGCTGGAGAAATTGCTGACCTGGAGAGCGTGCAGAGATCCTTTACTGCTAGAATCCATTCAGTAAAACATCTAAACTGTTGGAACCGACTAAAGAGTCTAAATCTGTATTTTCTTGAGCGCAGGCAGGAGAAATACATTATAATTTACACGTGGAAAATAATAGAGGGACTGTCCCAAACCTGCACACAGAAATAACATCACATGAGACCAGAAGGCATGGCAGGATGTGCAGAATACCCCCGTTGAAGAGCAGAGATGCAACAGGTACTCTGAGAGAGAACTCTATCAACATCAGAGGCCCGAGATTGTTCAACACGCTTCCACTACACATAAGGGGCATAACTGGCCGACCCCCTCACAGTGTTCAAGAGAACTCGATAAATACCTCTTAATTATACCTGATCAACCAGGCTGTGATTCATACGTCATACTGCGAGCAGCCTGGTTGACCAGACAACAACGAGCAGGCCTGGGAGATGACCGGGCCGCGGGGACCCTAAGCCCCGAAACCAACACAAGGTAACCTCAAGGTAAGATAATCCTTACGTCATCAGAAAACTGAGTTCCGACAGCGAGAATTGAAACAGCTCTCGTTACATAGAAGCAGTGACCGTGCAGACTGTTGTGGCCTTCGTCAGGAGTCATGAAGATACTTGTGGGACAGAAAACTTAGCCGTCATCTTCTACCAGACAAAAAAATCTTGAACTAGAAAAGTTTCGTCTCAACCAAAGTCTTTATTAAGACCAAGACGG